TAATATATATATGACAAATGTAGTTTAAAATCTATGATCAGGCAGATTCTATATTATATTGATGACAATGTGTATAACCAATAATTATTACATCTGAGGCATTTCATATCATTTTGTCTTAATATTGATAGTTTTTGTTAACTTTCATATTACACGAGCTTGACAGCTGCTCACAAACAGCTTTAAATTAAGTACTGCTAGATTTGTAATATGTTGTAATATTTGTGAATATCTGTTAGCAGTAATGAGAATAATGGTGAGTGGTTTTATTTATACCATCTTACCCAGAATTAAAATAATTTCCTGACGTTCATATAGACAAACTGCATTCATGTCAATGGTGAATATAAACAGATACAAGTCAACTCTTCACTGTAACAGACTCACGCTAGAATGGAAATTTTACAGTAAGATTGCCATTGCGACTTTAAAAGGCAGGGAATAAAGTGCATGCCTGTAACTGACAAGTGCTAGTGTTGCAATAGAGGGACATGCAGCACCCATGTTAATACAGGGAAGACATGTACAAGTAGTACGAGTGTCCCTCAGAACAGAGCACGAGGAATCCATCAGCTTACCTTCCATGCACTCGTTGACAGATTCATAATCGGCGTATGTCCTTCCCTCTGGCCTCTTGGTGGGCTGCACCAGCAGAATGGTGTGAGACTGGGAAAAAACAAAAAAGGAGATGCATACATTAATCAGAATCAGAATCAGAACCATTTATTGCCAAGGAAGTTTGCACCTACAAGGAATTTGTCGTGGCGGTTGGTGCGTAACATTTAACAATAAACAATAACATTAAACTATCAGCAATCAACACAGTGCGAGAAATAGAAACATATTAAATTTACAATAAAATATAAAATAAAGTGCACAACAAAACAGATAACAGGACTGTAAAACAAGTGAAGTGTAAGTGAAATGTTAAAAGTGACGAGAGTGTTTAAATAAAGAAACAGGGATGTGCAGGGGAGAGCCCAGAAGGAAATGTCCTGGGGATGACAGTCAGTGGGGGACCCGGGCTTTGTTAACGAGCCCGACTGCGGACGGGAAGAAACTGTTTGTGTGGCGTGAGGTCTTGGTTCTGATGGACCGCAGCCTCCTGCCAGATAGAAGGGGCACAAACAGATCATGTCCAGGGTGAGAGGGGTCGGCTACAATCTTTCGTGCTCACTTCAGGGTCCTTGAAGCGAACAGGTCCTGGAGGGACGGCAGATTAATTTGGTTGTCTTGCTTCCAGGTGTGACAGCAAATGTGTCACACGGTCAAATAATGAAACGGACATTCACAGGTGTGACCTGCTTGTTTTACTCCATATGTCGTCAATATAAACATAGTAGTTTGAGATGTTTGTACACACTAACCAGTTGAAAGATTAGTAAACTAATGATGGCTGATTGTCATGATGTTTAAGGTAGGACGGAGGAATATTAGCAGTGAAGTAGTTAATAAGTCTCACTTAGTCTTATTTAGTTGTAATATCTCTTTATGTTAACATGTAGCTTTATTTCTAAGATAATCAGTTTGCAGCCATTAAACAAAAACGTTTTTTTTTTCTTTTTTACAAAAGCCAAAGAGGTCTTAAATCAAATACTATGCAAACCCAGAGCCTACAGCTGAACGTTTATGTAGACTAGTTGTGTTAGCCAACATCGACTTGAAGCGATAAATAAGTAGTGCAGTGGTTTAAATAACAAAAAATACTCATAGCTACGGGTTTAGCGGACATCTGTGTTTTATTTGTCCGAGTCGGTCCGTCAGGTTGCAGCTGCTCGACTGTAAACGTCCGCACATTCATGCTAACGTTAGCAGAGAGCTATCAAAACACCCAATCCGCTGAAATAAAACCGACACACGGCTTTGACTGCTAATGGTATTAATGAATACACAAACACGCGTAGTATAAACAGTGTATCACGACGTACTAACCATTATTTTAATTGTTTTTTCCAGTCGGTGTCCGTCGATTTTCTTGGATCCGTGCTTCTTCGCGGACGAGTTGACCTGTGACACCGGAAGAATAACTTGCCAACTTCCGTTTTTTCTGCTTTTTGTCGCAATTAGTTTTTTTGTCTGCGGTGTCTGAAAGCGAACATTTAATCGAAAACAATATATTAATATATCGTCAGACCACCAATAGTGTTCTAGTGTAAACAAAATAAAAAAACAAACCTCCGACAACGTTTTGATCCTGAACGCTCCCCGAGTGAATAGAGAGAACCGGAAGTAGTTTACAGAAGCGACCGGATGTTCTGTGTGAAGACAGGAACAACAAAGAGGAGAAAGCGCCCGGGTTTTAAACCTGCTTCAGAACACACTTGAACACCAAAATCGAGGAAATTAGCTGTCGTTCACAGTAGGTGAGTTTACTTATTTTAAACCCGCTTTTCAGGAACTATATTTAGTTTGAGCAATGCAATTAATGTAGCCGTTAGCCACCCAGCGCGGCCGCTGCCTGCTCTGCCGTTATGTGCCATTATTGGCTAACTAGCCATTTTAGCCGTTCTCTAATGATGAAATACCTCTATGAGTAATAAACCAGTTATTTAATTAATGTTACCGCCAGCGAGCTTTCAAGTAGTTACCAAGAAACGTTAGTTATAAATCCTAATTAACAGTCAATAGTTCACCAGATAATAATTATTTATTATTTCCCGTGAATGTTACATCTCCAATCTCACTTCTGATCTGTATTTGTCATTTTAATGTAAATATGATGATGCCTGATGATATATTTTATTGCAAACATTAAGAAAATAGTCCACAGGGCTTTGTAATCTGGACAACATAGGAAACACCCGATTTTATTCATTGCTGTCACTGATATACTTGTTGTACTCCTCTCATGTGCTTTAAACTGAATATTGTCTCCTTTTCTCTTTCATCAGTGCAAAAGAAGTTGGTTTGCATGTGAGGACAAGTGTCTGCCGAGCCAACCATGGCGAACAATGTAGAAGATATCAAAAACAATATGGTCAGTATGAAAGAATGGGAGCAGAGCATCTGTGTCTATCCGTGTTGATCGATTGGGAAATGGCTGCCTAGTCGGTGATGAAAGAGTCGTCTGTTTCCTCCGCAGTGTGTGTGACGCCTCACACACTGCGGAGGAGTGTGAGTCTGACGTTTCATTTGACCTTTCATACACAGTAAATCATAATTATGGATGGTTATGTTCTGATAAGGAAAGATGTCAGACCTCTGAATGAGGAAGGAGAATGCCAGCGTTCTACTTTGCTGTCTGCATTTGTCTCTTATTGTAATCAAAGGCGTGGCCTAGTCGAGTAGTCAAAGTCTCCTTTTACTGTCACAGGCAACTTTACACCCATAAGCCTTGTTTACCCCATAACAGATGTCAGCAACGTTTCTCTGTCTTTGAACTGCATATTATGGTCAGTAAAATATCAGCTAGGTCATCAATGAGGTCAGACAGCTCAGTCAAGCCAGTATGACACGTTTAGTTTAATACATTACTACTGTATCCCAACCCTTAGTTAATACAACACAAATTCAGTAGAGTAGTCTATATCTCTTGTGTCCTCATGTCCTTATTCCCTGGACTGAGAAACACCGTTGTGCTGTAGAAATTAATGATCCTGACTGTGGTGTAGCAGACAGTGGGGTCGTTTTATACAGCCGCACGTTTAAGAGCGGAGGCGGCTTTCCCCGTTCACAGCCGTCTCCGTGTACCCGCTGAGGTTGCTTCATGTCTGGTGCTGCCGCATGTCTTGACTGGCCTGAACTGCTTTAGTTCACACAGTCTCTTTGATTTGCATTTTTATTTAGTCCTGACAAGACACATCCTCTGGGTGAGTGGAAACGAGTGCAGTGTTGTAACCCTTGGAGGAACTGATCAAGTGAGCATCAAATACAAACATGGATTGTCTGTAAACACTTTGCTTAAACGCTCGTTTAATTTCTAGAATTTTTTGCCAATAAATACAATTTAAAACGCTTGAGCTGAGTGTTTCATCTGATAATATGATGGTCTTGTTGACACCACAAGCTCTACAGAAAGATAGGTGAGGAAAGATAGATTTAGACTACTTCTGTGGCAAATTCTAGTGTCAGACTTTCAGAAAGACCTGGTCTCTGAAGATAGAATTTATAGTCGAGATTGATTAAGGGGCCGACTGTGAACCACACTGTGAACCACAATGTCCCTGTTTTGAGTCTGGGGCTCATTTCATAAAAGCGAACATTGTCCGCAAGAACCGATAACACAAATTGTGGCACCATCACGATTCACAAATGAAACAAATTGGTAAATTTGCGAGTCCTAGAATGCTCCTGCGTGCTCATGTGTGAGTCACAAGTATGGCTTTTTGTTTTAGTGAAATTGATCTAAATGAGAGAAACAAGAAATGATCTTGTGTTGCAAATCACAGATTGCACTTTGGCAAATTTGGTGAAATTGGCTCCCGGCTGGGTGTCTTTTGTTGCACACCACTCCTGATCTCTCACCAACAACTTCTTGTCATCTCCATATTATCTAGTCTCAAATAAAAGCCCCAAAAATACTTCAAAAAGATCTTAATTGCAAGATTTATCTTTTTTTTTATTATTTTAAATTCAGTCTTTCCCCTTTTATTAGATAGTTCACATATTGACAATATTTATTGTCATCATGATCTTTCTCATTGCCAGTGTTTTGGTACATTTTGTTCATAGAAAAAAAAATAAGTCAAAAGGGGGGAAAAAATGAACACCAAAGTATGGCTCACATTTTGTTGTACCTTGTGATTTGCAAGTGCTTTCATAATTGTAAAAAGTATATTTTTACAATTGAGCAGTGACACAGATTGAACCTGCATCACAGCTACTATGTACTCTGTGTCTTACTGTATGTTTTAGACCATTTAATTACTCATAGATTATCATTGCTGTGGATTATTTGACCACGCCGAGATGGAATATTTGATCAACAGGCATGTTCGTGTTGACTCTGAGACATCCCTGAGTTGTGTGTGCTCTGCTGGGTCTACTATCTGCATGTTTTGAACTGTAATCTAATGTCTGTATGTATTATATTACAAATTCCTAGCCTATAAATAAAGTGATTCCTCTCGACATTCAGGACGAGCAGGAGACCAATGTGGCCTATGAACCCACCCAGCAGCCACAGGAGGCTGCGGGGACCAGAGCCCGGTCCAGAGGAGGCTCAGGAGCTGGAGGAGGAGCTGGAGGAGGAGGAGGAGGAGGAGGAGGAGGAGGAGGAGGAGGAGGCGGCGATGGTGGCGATGGTGGAGGTGGCAATAGTAGCGGCCCGGAGCAGAACGGACAGCCCCCCACTGCTACGCCTCCCCGTGTGGTGGAGACCGAGGAGGACGAGGATGAAGAGTTGACCCTGAAATACGGAGCGAAGCACGTCATCATGCTGTTCGTTCCCGTGACCCTCTGCATGGTGGTGGTCGTGGCCACCATAAAGTCCGTCAGCTTCTACACCCAGAATGACGGCCACAGATTGTGAGTGTTATAACTCTTTAGTAGAAGGATCCAAAGCTCATTTAGGTCTGGTGGTTGAATTAAATGCAGTACAGCTGCTGAGCCACTAGGTGGAGTTAATGCAATGCATATATCACACCTGCATGGTTGGAATACAAAGACAGTACTGTAATTGCATGAGATCATTAAAGCAGAGTCTGAATCTGGCTGAGGGCTCTTAAACATTTTATATCTTCTCCAAAGCAACCTAACCTCCCTGAAATAACAGCAAGCTTCTATTACATTATGAAGAGAGCGCTCTAGACCTGCTCTGTAGGAAAAGTGCCCTGAGATCATTTCTGTTGTGACTCGGCTCTGTATACATAAAGCTCACTAAGAACCAGCTCTAATAAGAAGCCCAGTATTTTCTTTATTGCATTCATTATACATTCTATTCTTTGCTGTTTGGACTGAGCTGTGTGTCTCCTCACAGGATCTACACACCGTTCCCTGAAGACACAGACACGGTCGGAGAGAGAGCCCTCAACTCCATCCTGAACGCCACCATCATGATCACCGTGATCATCGTCATGACTCTGGTGCTGGTGCTGTTGTACAAGTACCGCTGCTACAAGGTACATGGCGGAACCTGTCGCATGCTGCAGTCCCATTCACTGCACACCTCAGCTGTAGAACATACCAGCGTTTGTTTGTTTGAACTAGGCTCAAACGGCCTTTTCACAGCAGACATTTTGACTCGTTATGGTAGGAAGAAGCACATGTTGCCTGCATGCAGTACAATGCGGAGTGATTTCAAACACAGCCAGGGTGTTTCCCTCTCAATCATTCGAGGTTTGGACTTGCCGAACACAGCTGTACCTGCCATTAAAATGGCTTCATTACAGTTAGATGTGTTCTAACACCCTGTTCTCTCCTGTTCTCTCTGCATGTTGGCACAATGTAATGGTTTACCGGGTCACGTTATTGTAACGGAGCCATTGCTAGTATTATTAGCTCCATCTACGTGTGTTTTTTCTTCCTGTCATGTAAAAAACGTCTGCTGTGAGAAGAGACATTATTGAGAATGACAGATGTGTGAAAGTCGTTCTTGACAAATTGCTGCAACAAGCTGTCAACAGTCTGTAAAATAAATACACTGTCCTCAGTGTAAAAGATAAGTGTAATGGATGCTTGTTGTGTTTTCCCGTTGTTGTAACTCCACCCCACCTGGTTGCCCAGGTAGTTTGAAACAGACACTATTAAGTATTTGCATGTACTGATCTGCTGAAACATGAAATCTCCACGACTCTGATCTTTGCGTTCACAGGTGATCCAAGGCTGGCTCTTCCTCTCCTCCCTGCTCATGCTGTTCTTCTTCTCCTACATCTACCTCAAGTAAGCCATAAACATGTTATCTCGTCTTCCAAGGTTCCCACACACACTCTCGTAAAATGTGGCGTCGTTTATTTCTCAACAATGATGTTTGTCGTTGTCTCTACTCTGTCAGAGAGGTTTTCAAGACCTACAATTTGGCGATGGACTACTTCACCCTGGCGATAATAATTTGGAACTTCGGAGTGGTGGGCATGATGTGTATTCACTGGACAGGACCGCTGCGGCTCCAGCAGGCCTACCTCATCATGATCAGCGCCCTCATGGCCCTGGTTTTCATCAAGTACCTGCCAGAGTGGACCGCCTGGCTCATATTAGCCGCCATATCCGTCTACGGTAAATCCTCCGCTCTCTTCTGCTCTTTTTAAGAAGAAAGATGAACTTTTTACCTTTTGAACATGTTATTTAGTGCACCAATATTCAGTCATGTCAAAGTTATGTTTGAGGTGTATAAATGCAGCACAATGATCTACTTATCTTCCAGAAGAAGGTGCACACCAGCCATCAGGGACAAAGACAGTTTTTACAACATATTGAAATGATGTCGCATTACCATGAGTTTCTAATTGAAATGGCAGGGACATTCCTTTTCCACGAAGAAATATCTGCCGACTGGAGTTTAGTGGAAATAGATCCTAGATCGCAGTGATTCGATCAGCGCACGTATTTAATTGTTCGTGGAAGAAAGCCCTTTAGAGAACAAAGAGGGATGAAACATGTGGACCGGATCTCTGTTTCCCTGCAGTCTGCTTCTTGTCATCACAGATGTCATGTCGCCGTCAGAGAGCTGTGTTTGGTCTCTCACAGAGCGCTCTGTTCGGAGACTAACTCGTCTGGCTTCTCTCTCCTCTCACAGATCTGTTAGCGGTGCTCTGTCCCAAAGGGCCTCTGAGGATGCTGGTGGAGACGGCTCAGGAGAGGAACGAGCCCATCTTTCCAGCTCTCATCTACTCCTGTAAGACGGACACTGATTGTATTCATAACGTTTTATTGTAATAAAACAGAGGTGGGGAAATTAAACACCAGTTTTAAAGAAAACATGAAGACGCTAAAACTGCTTTCCCATTAATCTGCCACTTCAATGCACTATCAGTGCTTAAAAGTCCTCACTTACAAGTGAGGCTTCAACTCCTTTAAGTAAACTGTGCTGATGCATCATTTATTTTCAGTACTTTCACTTTAAACTGACAAATCCACTCCTGTCAGCATTTAACTCTTGCTTAAACGCTTCAGTGCTCTCCATTAACTCTCCACTTCAACTTCTATCAGTGCTTAAAAAGTGCTTTGATTCCCCAGTGGTTGGAACAACTAACTTCTCAGTGCTTTGACTTCAGCTCTATTCAGCATGTTCACTTTAAGTGACTCTTTAAACGTTTTCAGCACCTTCACTTGTCAACTCATCTTATTTCAGCGCTTTCACTTCATCGGACACTTCACTGACCTTTACTGCAGTCACTTGAAATGACACTTCAACTCCATTCATCTGACATTTCTACTGCTCAATGTTTTTACACTTAGAATATCACTCTGAGGCTTTAACTGACCCGTTACCTCCTTTCAGACGTCTAAAATACTCTCAGGGCTTTCAATTCAATCGACTCTTAAACTCCTCTCGGCATATACTCTTTAATTGACGCTTCATCTTCTTTCAGTGCAGTAATGACACCTCAACTCCTACTTCAACTCACGGTCTAAGTTGGAGGATACCGCCATAAAGATATACATATGTCAAAAGTCATTTCAGCTGTTTCAAATGTTTGAACTTCAAAAGTTTCAGAGTCCTCAGATGAGTTGAATTGGAGGTTGAAACAGAAGCACTGAAAGAAGTTCAAGTGGCCGTTTAATTGTAGTAGAAGCAAGCACACTTTTTTTGGGGAGGGATTTATTTTTCTTGCATTCTGTTTGTAACACAAATAATAAAGCCTTCAATATGTTGACTCTCTGACTCCTTCCACAGCTACAATGGTGTGGATCGTCAACATGGCCGACACCGAATGGCCACCAAAAAGGAACTCGACAGAAGCGGCGGCGCCTCAACAAGAAGCTCCAGAAGGTGAGAGTGTGGTCAAAGTGATCTGGTCCCAGAGCGGTTAGCTTCTTAAACCGCGTTGTTCCGTCTAACTGGTGTCACCTGTCTGCAGCCGTGGCGTCTCCGGCTCCCACCACTCTGTCGGACGACGGAGGCTTCAACCCGTCGTGGGTCAACCAGCAGCAGCACCAGCTGGGCCCGCTCCAGACCACCGACGAGACCAGACGGGAGGTCCAGGAGCTGCCCTCCGCTCGCCCTCCTGTTGAAGACGACGATGAGGAGAGTGAGTACAAATATATAACATGGAATATTAAAGCTTTATTTTAGTAATTTTCCTATACATCTGTGCTTCTGCCCATAAATGTCTTCATACACTAGAATTCCAGCATTATCATCAGTGTCGTGTATAGTTACACCATCCAACACGAGGGTAATAACTACATTATGATGCGTTTAGATGTTCCTCACAGCCCTAATACGAAGCCGAGCTCTGTAATTCAAACTTGTGAATCCCCAGATCGTCTGACTCGGTGTGTAATCATCATCTTTCAGTTCACTTTTCTTCAAAACACATAAAACATTTTGGGAATGCTTTCATGTGTTCCCCTTTCTGTGAAATTAGTGCGTATGTGACTGCGACAACATGTTTGGCCCTAGAATGTTTTTAGTCGAAGCACATTAGGAAGCGATTATTCATGGAAATTGCTAGGTTTCACGTCCGAGCTCTTTCTGGGAGTTAAAGCTTGGGTAAATATGGGGTCGGAGCTCTTGTTTGTACAGTAATTACAGTCGAGAAAAGATTTCTATGGGGGTTGGAGGGCGTGGAGCCGAGGCGAATCTCGTGTCTGAATTGACTCCACCCTGAATGTGGTGTCCTCCCGTGTTCTCAGGGGGCGTCAAGTTGGGCCTTGGAGACTTCATCTTCTACAGCATGCTGGTGGGAAAGGCCTCGGCCACAGCCAGCGGCGACTGGAACACCACGCTCGCCTGCTTCGTAGCCATCCTCATCGTGAGTGACCACGGCTGCTTATTTTGGTGTCACCGCAAACCTCTCCTCTAAGCACAATATCTCTCTCAGCACAATATCTAACCCCGCTTTACGCCAACCACTTGATTGTACAACAGGCCGTTTATTTTTCTCTTCCTTCCCCCCTCAGGGCTGATTTTGTTTAGTACACAATCTCTTCAAAGTGCTATTTCCTCTTGTGTTTTATTGTGTCTTCCTCTGCCCCCGCAGGGCCTGTGTCTGACTCTGATCCTCCTCGCCATCTTCAAGAAAGCGCTCCCCGCTCTGCCCATCTCCATTTTTTTCGGCCTAGTCTTCTACTTCGCCACAGACAACTTGGTGCAGCCCTTCATGGACAGGCTGGCGCTACACCAGTTCTACATTTAGCCGGCCGCTGCCCTGATAACCCTCACCCACATAGCCCTCCGGCCAACAACACGACAGCCGGGGGAACAAAGGGCCCCTCCTAAGAACTCGCGATGATGGGGACACACATTTTTGTTTTGCCTTTTTTTCTTTCCGGCGCCGAGGGAGGGTATTGCCCACCACAGCTGTTCTTAGATATTTTATTTCGGTTTTAAACCAAGAAGTGACATTTCTCGCTCGGCCTGGGAAGTCATCTTCAAACCGTCGATCACCGGCCTCAATCCAAACCGAGAAGTTAGTCGGAGTGTTTTACCTTTTTATTTATCTAGGGGAGCTTTCACAAGAGCTCGTCTGCTTCTTCTCAGCAGCACCCTGCATCCCGTTCACACAGAATCATATCTGGGAGTCGCCCATCACAGCCCTCTACAACTGGGGCTTTACAGGTGCTCAGGGACACCTCGGTGGTAGCTGTTGAGCGTGGGGAGACCGTTTCATTGAATCTCCGTTCAAAGACTTTCATCAAACATCTTCATTTTTTTTTTTTTTTCGACTTCTGAGCTGCCGCCGCCCTCCCCTCCCAAAACTAAACCCAAGATTAAAAAGCCTTCGTCAAGCTAACGGACACTCTGCGATGATGTTGATAATAGATCGGTAAATGTGTAGTTTGATTGTGTTTGAGCTGTCAGTCACCAGACGTGCTTTCCTCACCGCTGTTAAGAATGGTTAAGACGTCTTTTGTTTTCCCACTTTGGACACATGAGAACCGAAACTCTGAAGCCGGAGAGCGATTCACACCCTGAAAGATTTACACTGAGCGGGATGTTTAGAGCGTGTGAATCTTTCTCACGGGGGAAAAAGAGGACACGTTTATCGTCTCTAGAGTTAAGATACGAGTGTAAGTGTGACACTGACTTGTCACCGTGTTTCCCGCCGTTCATTTTATGTCAAATCACATTTGAAGTCGGAGCCTCGCAGAGGGAGGGAAGCTCCCACCAACACTCACACCTGAGACTTGCCTGCCGTGTCAGTCACGTACTGTCAGCCACTGAGCAGTTCTGCTGGAGCAGTCGTAGTTTCAGTGCCTTGCTCAAGGGCATTTCAGTAGTAGTTGTTGTTGTTATTGTTGTTGTGGGACAGAAATGTGCTTTTCGTTCTGTTCCCTGACTGAGATTTAATTAGTTTTTGTTTTTCAGTCTGTCCAGGGATTGTAACCTGTGATCATATGGTCACGAGCTCTGAACCTTTAGGCTCTAGCTGCCCTCATGACGCTCGCCTGGTGCTGTCTGGAACTATGCTCCATTCCAAGCTATACACAGATACCTGTTGTGTTTTTTTTCTAGAAATGCATAAGAGGGACTTTGTACTTTTTGAAACATGAGTGTGAGTGTTAACGGGGTTCCTTCACAGATCAGTAAATTTGACATAAATGATGTGCATGTTTTGAGATAAAGTCCTGATGAATGAGGAGCTGTAAATCTAGTTTGAAAACAATCTCCAGTTATCAAGCAGTATTTGCTTAATTGTCTATTTTAATCAAGTTAAAAACAAAGCAAAATGGTTAAATAATGGTTTTGTGAAATATTGATATGTGTATGAACCCAAACTCTGGCTTCTCATATATGAGACGATGCAGATGGATGGAGGAGGACGAGCGGCGCTGGTTGCTCTTCATGCTTTCAGAGAAGAAACCAGGAGGTTTAGTTTGCCCTGAAACTTTTTTGTTTTTGTTTTTAGGGAATGTGTTGGGTGACTGGCTTTTTTCTGTCCTTCACATGCATAACGTGTGTTATGCAAGGTTATTGAATTCAGATTTTGTTTTTTAAATAAATAATGAAAGTAGTACTCTTCTTTTGGTTTGTTTTTTTGATTGAGTCTGACGGATTCAACAGTTGATAATGTCTTAAAATAACCCGGATGATGTCATCAAGGTTTCGGCCTCTCGCGAGTGAAATAGTAAATCTCTGGAGTTTCACGAATTATTGGCTAAACATGATGTTGTACTACTTCCTAGTTAGCATGGAGACTTAAGTATGCGTATCAGTACAACAATGTATAACTATTCCACCACAATTGTCTTTTACATTCTGCAAATTCTTCATGAAACGGTGCTGAACCTAAGTAAATGTACATAAATATTGTTAGCAGAAAAGGCTAAATAGTACTCTAGTGCTAGTACTAGGGCCTGCTAGAGTTGTACTTATTATTGGATCATTACCACTGTTGCATACATCTGTAAACAACATTACAATGTTTTCAAATTAGTTTAATCTGTAATAATTGATTACATGCACTAGTCACTGTCAGAATGTCTCGCTCTGAATTGTAGTGGAGTAGAAGTATAAAGTTGCAGAAACTGGAAATACTCAAAGTACAATCACCTCAAACATTTTACTACTAGTACAGTACTTGAATAAATGCATCTAGTTGCTTTCCACCACTGGATAGTTGAACTTGAACCTGTGTGATGAGATGTTTTACTTCTGTGAAGCTGGACTTATCTCTCACAAACTCCTGTTGTCTGTCCTGCATCCTCTGCTCTGCTCTCAACCCTCCCGGATAATGACGCAAAAGCATCCCTGCAGATGGTGGGAACATTGTGGACATTCCTCGGCGTGCTGATGCGCTGGTATCCCGCTGGCGCTCTGCCTGGCGCGCTGGACGCATTAGCTGTCACCATGGGGACCGTTTGGCCTCCGCCGGCCGGGACAGTGGCACAGTATGGCAGTTTACCCAGAATGTTTAGCCTCATACTGTGACTTACCTAACAAGCCCCGAGCGAGGCCTCTTTTCTAGCTCATGTGGGTCCTGCTGCTCGGCCGGGGAACTACACGGTTAATTCCATAAGGCTTCTCCTGCATTGACTCCAGACACCTGTTCTGTTCAGATTAGTTTACACCTAACATTTGAAGCTGTTTGGGTCCTTTCCCAGAAAAAGATTAACCCCATCTCTAGACATTCCCAAAGACGAAGAATCCCCATTGAGAGAAATTTGAACCTTTTGTTTCTGTTTCCTTGCAGATGTGAAATTAGACGTTGCATTTCTTTGTAGGCCTTTATGCTCGTTCCCTGACGAGTTGATGGGACTACAGAGTGAACTGACGTAGCCTGTCAATCACTGGCATCCTCTTTATAGGGTGCACTTAAGCAGGAAACGATGTGGCTGTGTGTGTGTGTGTGTGTGTGTGTGTGTGTGTGTGTGTGTGTGTGTGTGTGTGTGTGTGTGTGTGTGTCACACCTTGTGTATTACAGGTTTCCCAGGATAGCTCTGCTAAGGGGATTACTGTGCATGGGAGGGATGTCTGCTCCATGTAAGGAATTGAGGATTACACTTCAATAATCGCTGGCAACAAGCACAGACACTCAACGGCGCAGAAGAAAAGAGCTAAAGCTCAGACACGAAGAAGAAAAAACCCCTGCAAAAGGTGAATAAAACATTTCAGAGATGTCTAAGGACAAGCTGGAGGGCCTGGTGCAGCGCATGGAGGAGACGCTCTCGGAGATGGAGCAGCTGAAGGTGCACTGCGGGAAGCAGAGCGAGGAGCTGAGCCAGCTGGTGGTGGAGCTCCGGAGAGAGAACCAGGAGCTGGTGGAGAAGTACAACCAGCTCACTGTGGAGATGAAGGAGGCCAAGGAGATCATAGAACAGCTCATGGACACGAAACATGCCTTTAATGCAAAGGAGAGGCAGGCGCAGAAGCTCAGTCGGCAGCTCTGAAGGCCCACGAGGAGGATGAAGACACGGCCCACGGTGGATGTGACCTGCTGGAGTCCTGGAGGGAAACGACACTGGACATGGTGGATGGAGAAGAAGAAAAAAAAGCAGCTTGTTGCAGATTTCTAAATACTGGGTGGGCATGAAGGCTAAACTGGGCACAGCTGTTTTCTTAAACATATAGAAAGTGTGTTTTTCCTTCTGCATATGTGTACATTTTAGGTTCGGAGGGGATGAATATAAAGCTTAGTAATTTGAATGTTAACTTAAATCCTGTGGCTTAGGGCCTCTGTTTAAAGCCACGGCTAGACGTAATGACCAGGAATCAAAACTGGAAGTCTCCCAGAGATGTGGAAAAATGTGGACTCTGTTTGAAAAAGGGGGGAGGAGGGGGGGGGTTACAAAAGGCATTGTGCTCATTAGGTTTCTATAATTGAAACAACAGCATGCCTAAGCCAGGCTGCACTGCCCCTGTAAAGATTTTATTTGATGATCTGTTATTTTTAGTTGTGAAGTGCCCAGGAGAGGCGGGTGGCCCCCTATTTCTGGTGTTTGTAGAGTCAAAGTGCTAAAAATACCTCATCATCCCTCCCTACTCTTAATCTTGTAAAGTTGGGGACTTCAAGGGGCCTCCTTTTACACTTAGATAATAGTGTATTATTCACGTACTCCAATAAACGATAAATGCTCAGTGGATTTCTGAAACTGACAATCACTCGTGTTGGCTTTTTGCATCACGTACGACTTGAAGACTATAAAGACGAAGGTTGTGATTTGATGTTCATTGAACCTGAATCCATTATTGAATCGTATTGAACGCCTTTATATGTGGGTTTACATTTTCGTGACAAAATGTATAAATATCTTAAAATTCAAGATCTATAATAAGTGCATTGAGTCCATTGAACTTGAGTGGTGTTTGGACTCGCATACGTTTGGAAAGGTTCTAGTTACCTGTTCTGTGATTTTAAACATTTATACTGACTGAGTCATGCAGTCTGGCCTAAGGATGGAACATAATCCTTCAGTGTAACCAGATAAACACACATGTGGCTTGAATGGGTTTTGGTGGCGTTAAAGCTTTTCTTTGGTTTATTCACATGTGAAGAAAAACGTTTTGGAGCCAGCGTGGCTCTCTGGCTCTTTCACACACACTTAAGAATGAATGAAACAGTAGAAAGTTTGAAGACAAGTACACATTACACCCAAGATGTCAGCCCACAACTACATTACGCTGCACTATTTCAGCAGTTTTGTGTGTCCGTTTTTAGAAGCCAGTTGTTTAAAACCTCACCCCCAAAAGAGAAGAGAGAGGAGGGGTTACATCTGTTTGGGAAACGTATAGGCAGACGTTTAAACAGCTTTGGTAGTGGCCGCGGCGGTTTCCTCTTTAAAACCCAAAATAATCACTTTTCTATGTTGTTCTCAAACATGTTCGGGGTTATGCAGCAATTAAATTGCCAAATTCTTCAAAGAGCCTTTGTGTATTTGAGATCAGTCTTTTAAATTATTTAGAAAACTTCAGGGATTGATTTCATTTGTTTGTTTTTTGCTTTTTTAAATTTAACCCACATTTTTTGGGTTTCAGAAAAGCAGCAAACAAAGAAAATGAATTCTGTGTGTGTTGTAATCAAGCTTCTCTGTGTCTTGTTTACATAATGGAGCTGATCCGAGTGCATTTTAGCGCACGTGTTCTCTGTTGTTGCACTGGCTAATGGTCGCCGCAGTGCACTGTGCTCATGCGGCGGTTGCAGCTTATAACACCATCCGGACTGACGGTGTCGTCACGTAGCACCAACCCTCCAGTTCCCGCTCAGGTTAAACACTGTTAGCTCTCTCAGCACTGTTGCATTGCACTGTTAGCGCAGTTAGCACACCCAGTTTACGTCAAAGGGAAGAATCTACCAAGAAAAATATTTAAAAGGGGATAAACAATGCTGATTTTGCAATTATCATAGTTATTGTATGCCACGCTAGCGCACAGCTGCAGGAATGGCGATGCCTGATGGTTGGTCACCACTGTCTTGACATCTTGTACAAACATTTATGGTCCCCAGAGGATGAATCCTACAGATTTAGCTCTTCTCCTCTAGCGCCTCTGTTAGGTCTAAAATCTTTGATTTTCATGAAAATATTTGACCAACTAGTGAATGGATTGCTGTAAAATGTGGGGCAGTTATTGGTGAACCCCTCATGATGAATTTTTTAAATCGCCGATGCCTTACTCATCAGGTACACATTTCACTTTGTCCAACACTTTGGTTTATGTTTAAATACCTGCAAAACTAACAACTTTTTCAGGTGTATTCTCTTGTTTGAACACCTGTAAACAAGGAGAAAGTAAAACCAAAGGGTTAAATCATCATATTGAGTGCTACCAAACACAATCTTTTCTTTTGACAAAGTAATTTAACATTTGGGGCCCGTTTCAGCTAAAAATGACAACCTTTCCTTTCGCATTAGACCCAGACGCTTAAAGGGGATGTCTTTGGATGGTTACCCTGGTATTACATGGACGTGTGGGAGGACATTATAATGACACATAGCAAAGTGGGAATAAACCATGGAGGACGTTTGCTCACGGGGACCTTACAACAAACGACCACGTTGATTAACTGTTATTTTTACAGGCTGAAATTACAGACTGCGCGTGAAGGATCCCCATCTCTGTCAGGAGGGGCTCGCGGGAGCTGCTGGTTACAAAAAGCGCGCCTATGACGCCGCGGAGGAGGTTCAACAGAGAGGACTTTCTCTTCTGTTGCTGCTCCTGGTTGGTTTCCTGTTGGACGCAAGACAGATCTAGAGAAAGAGAGAGAGAGAGAGAGAGAGGCAGGGAGCGAGACAAAGGGTTGCAGCTAGATAACCCTCCTCATATATCCAGGACACTGCACAACTTTTCAGACTTCAAGTCAAAGCTCCCGGAGAGAAACCAGCTGTCAGGCCTGCTGCGTCACGCACGGTCCTCCGCAAGGATCCACCGGCGGTTTTGGACTCCAAGTAACCGCATTTATAGCCACTAAACACGGTGAGTAGTTGCGATGTTTCTTCTCAAGTCTCATTTCTGTTAAATAACAGACTAATCCTTTTGTTGCAATGTGGAAGATGGAAATATTCATTAGAGGAGATGAGAAATAAGTTTTACACGTTTACACAAGGTTCATAAGAAAGTGTATAGACTGACTGACTCATAGTTACGATAAATAACAAAAGCAATTGTGTAAAGAAAAAATAAACTAACCTGGAATATTATAGAGATTTAATAAAGTTTGTACAGAACACAAGACTCTGCTTGCCCTCACTGACTAACGAATAATTGGTAATCTGGGTGGATAAAAGCTTGTATAGCCTGAGGAGAAAGGCTTTATGAGTTGGTGAGAGATGCAGGAATCTCCAAAATGATTTGTTCAAATGTTGATTGTGCGCAGGGTGAAGAATATCATTGAAATGAGAGGACAGATATAGGTGATTATTAATGCATGTCATTTATCTAGCAAAAAAAAAAACAAACATTTGCTGATTCCAGCCTAAAATGTGATGAGCTGGTGACTTTGATGTGGTTTTATTGTTTAGCACGACTTTCTTTAATGTATTCTTTAAGTTTTCAAACTATGTGATGACTTTAACATGTCTGCAGCACGAGTTCAGTCGTTCATTTTAGTGTCTTCTTAGCACTGGAGTTTGAAGGGTTTCATTGCCAAACACTGATTTGTATCTGAACTAAAACATATAACTCAGACATTTAAGGACAGTTTTCAATTAGTGTATTTGTTGATGTGCATAAAATGAACAATTTTGGCCTTCAATTTAATTTAAAGTCATTAAACACGTAAACATGTCACATGTTCCTCTCAAATTTCAGGATTTGACACCTTTCTCTGTTTTTATATAATTGTGTTATTAACATTTTTTGATTTTGGTCGAACAAAACATGCAATTTGAAGACAACACCTTGGGTTCTAAAAACATGTATTAGCATTTATCACAATTTTATAATATTTTTGGACTAAAAGATTCATTGATTAATGTTAGAAAACAGCCAACAGATGAATTAGTTATTAGTATTAAGTATTCGGGCAGCTCCGGTCATTAGCTGCCTTAATACTTTATCTGTATAGTTATTGAGATGCCCACACAGAAGATCACCACCACCCAGTGAGGATGACTCCATTATGTTGCTCAATTCTGGGCGTTTGTTGCAGCAAGTGTGTTTGTGTTGGAGACGGATCAGACATGCTGACTGCCTGTCTTCTCTCCTCTCTGACATAACCTCCCCTCTGACTTCTTGCCTGTTGGTGGTGGGGTTTAACGGTCCTCACTGCCGGGGCATCCGGTCATCATGGCAGACGGGGTCAGACGGGGTCAGAGGTGATTTTTGGCAGCTCCAGCCGACCCCCTTCTCTCCCTTTATTAATCATTTAGTCCATACAATTTCGGAAAATGTTGAAAAATAAACATTTCTCCAAGTCCATTGTGACACAGGACTAAGAAAACCAACTTATATTCAAATTTAATACACAGAGGCCAGTAAATGTTTTGGCATTTTTGCTTAAAAAAGTACTGTGAAAAGGTAAAAAGATGAATAAATGATCAAAATTGCTGCTGATTATTTCTGTTCAACGACTAGTTAATTAATTAATTAATTGACTGATTGTTTCAGCCTTAAATTACTCTCTCCTCTGTGGATTGGATAAAAAAAATCTGCAAATTGTATATTCCCCGCTCCCAAAGCTCCAGGTTTTCATCAGACATATACTTTACTAACTGCAACCACAGATGCAGCTGTTGATTATCTGCTGTGGTCGATGGCTGCAAACCAAACCACTGTTGAATCATTCATCTGTGTGTTCCTTCAGCTTGATGAGCTGCTTAAACAAAATCATTACCACACTCTGATTTATAACTGATTTATATACGTGGTGATATTTCAGGAAACGCTGCAGGGCAATAAAACTGACTGTGAGCCAAAACTGAGGCTGATACTTTGTGTTTTTTTATTGTTTTGTGTTGTTGGATCAGATGAGGGGAGAAGTGTCTTTCTGCCCTCATAGATTCTGTTATCCTGTTTGTGTGTCCCATCAGTTACAGTTTCCACTCTTGTTGCCCAGGCTTGTTGCTCAATGTGTAAAAGACTTGATTAGTCACAGTGACTAACTCTTGACGTCTCTTCTTCTTCTTTTCTTTTCTTTTCCAGGGAACAATGAAGATGCTCCTGCCTCTGGTAACCCTCCAGCTGCTGTTGGCTCCAGTGCTCATGGTAAAATCCCAGTGGATGAAGAAATTCGCACTAATAACAAACACTGAATGAATGAAAATATACAAGTATTATAAGTTAGATTTGGTTGACAAAACAATCAAAACATTGATTGTCCATGTTGGATTAAAAATTCAGTTTAAAAATGTGTTTGAAACTGAATGAGATTTGGTTTGAAAGCAAAGTTAAAGCATTATTACAAGGTTAATGTTGTTGTTTGTTTACTTTGTGATGAGAGTATAACTGGTGTGTTGTGTCCAGGTGCCCGGTGTGGATCACTGGGACTCATGGGGTCCTTATGGAGAATGCAGCCGGAGCTGTGGCAGCGGAGTGACTATGAGAACAAGAAGCTGTATCACACACAGGTATGTCGCCTACCTACCGACCTACTTAT